ATAATAGTTAATGGATAAGTCTAGTTAATTAAGTTAAAATAGATTTTGCTTAGGAATTTTATGTCTGTTTTGTCATTGATTGCATTCTCATTCTTTTTTATATAGATCATCTCTAGAAATTCACGCTTATTTTGGTTGTTCTCGGTTTTTAAAACTTTTGTTTTGGAAAAATCAAAAGTGTGGGATTCTTGCTCTTTGTGTTTGCTCAAGGCAGTTTTGTTAATTTTATCATATTTGTGGCCATTCAATCGGTTTTGAAGATACTGTGATGTTTGTCCAATATAGACTTTTTGGCAATTGTTGCATGGGATTTCGTAAATGATGTGACTTTTTTTATTAATGGGTGTTTTGCTTTTTAGCCGACTGATATATATGAAAATTTTCCAAAATTTAGCCAACTGATATATATGAAAATTTTCTAATAGACGAAAAAAATAAATATGAATATCATTTTCTCAAAATAAAACAAAAAAACATAAATAAAATTAATCACCTACTATCGTCCCAAGGAAAATCACAAAGTACAATTCACGTAGAACGCAACTGGCTAGAAAATCTCTCAAATGTCGAAATTCCAGAATACGCTTCCGATGTTCTAAGTTTGGGTCCAAATTTTGCTTTGCCAATTGAAAAATCAATAGAACTACCAATCCCAGAAATTATTTCATCTATTGAAATGTCTATAAAAAAAATTAACCACTGAAAACAAAGATAAAATAAGAGCTGATTTGTGTAACGTTGTCACAAACCACAAAAATAAAATAAATAATATCCACTCAAAACCAAATAAATTAAACAGTCAATTGTGCAAAAAAGCCCAAAAAACAAAACAATTTTTGAAACAAAATCCCAATCTGAAAGTATTAAAACCTGACAAATCAAACAAAACAGTGATTATGACTACAGAAGACTATGATAAAAAAATGCATGACCTGCTTGATGACCCACTAACATACAAAAAAATAAACAGCGATCCGACTAATATTTTTCAGAAGAAGAACAATGACATAATTAAACGATGGGAATCAAAAAACTATATTTCACCAAAAATTGCAGACGGATTAAAAATTCATAATGCTCAAACCCCTAAAATATATGGCTTACAAAAACTTCACAAGGAAGGAGTACCCCTCAGACCTATTGTGTCATGTATACAATCTCCGTTACATAAGCTCTCCAAATTTTTAAAAAATATTCAGTAGTAATATAACAAGTGCATTAAAAATTAGCGATAATTTTTGGGAAATATGCACGAATGCACGAATGCACGATTGCACGAATGCACGAATGCACGAATGCACGAATGCACGAATGCACGAATGCACGAATGCACGAATGCACGAATGCACGAATGCACGAATGCACGAATGCACGAATGCACGAATGCACGAATGCACGAATGCACGAATGCACGAATGCACGTTAAGTTTTTTCAGTTTAACATGCATGAGTGAAGATTTGTCGAAAATTATCGATGCATTTTTAATGCACGAGTTATATTTTATCAGAAAATTTCATGAATTTTCAACTTGTCCTGTATAAGAAAAAAATTTGTCACTGTCACATAAAATTTGTCAAATGAAATTGAAGGTGTTTCTCTATTTTTATTTTTGGTCTAGTTACTAGTTATTACCTTTTTAAACAATTTCTATGGTGATTTAACAATTGGCATTTGTGATAATAAACAAGTTTAATTCGTGTCTCAACTTTTAAGAAAAATGTCGCGATTTGGTAACGCTTCCATGCAAGAAATTGACAAATCCATTGAAGACCTAACTCCTGGAAAACACAAAAAAATCGAAAAATTCAATATGGAAACAATTCGAAGAATTTTGCTCTGAGAAAAAATACGTATTGGAAGCCCAGACAACACCAGAAACTTTAGCTAATATTTTAAAGGATTGGGCAAGTAATATGAGAAGAAAAGATGGTTCGTTTTACAAAGAGAGCGTAGTCAAGACTATGTGGAATGTGACCGCCAAATTACTTCAACAGAAGTATAGCGAATATGGTGTCAACCTCGATCCATTCTCAAATATTACATTCAAAGCAGCAAGAGACGCCAGGGATGCCGTACGGCGAGAATTGCATGGTGATCCAAGCAAAAGAAAAACAAGTTCCTCAGCTTTTACGTCCGAAGAATATTTGAGTATTCTCAAACTTTTTGATGAAAATACTCCCGACGGGCTTCAAAAAAAGTTGTTCCACGTTTTATCATTTGAACTGGCTTTTAGAGGTGGCGAAGCTCCAAATTGCACAACTGATTTTTTTAAAATGGAAAAATTTCACGATGGCACACCTACAAACAGGATTGAATACAATCCAATTTTTTCGAAAACACGCCAAGGTGGTAGCCACCTTCTAACGGACAGTAAATGGCTTATCAGAAACAACGCCGATGAAGCCATATGCCCAATTAGGTAAGTAAAAGTGCTTCAATAGGTAAACTTATTGATTCAAATATGATTTATTTCCAGGTTGTACAAATTGTTTATTTCCAAAAGAGGAAATAATGAGAAGATCAACAGACTTTTCTTAACACCTAATCCAGAATGGAGAAAAAGTGGCACATGGTATAAAAATATGCCAGCTGGCAGGAATGAAATTTCAAAATGGACAAAAACTGCAGCAGAAAAGGCCGGCCTAAATAGCAAAAAATTTAAATTTACTAACCATTCACATAGGGCTACAAGCGTAACCCATTTGGCTAAATCTGGAGTTGGCGAAAATCAATTAATAAAAATAACTGGCCATGGTAACGTTAATTCGATAAAACCCTATTTACAATTGGATCAGAACTTTCATGAGGATATTATCCATAAAATGAGAGGAAACCATAACGCCGCCAATAATGAAATTCAAAATTGTAATGCTTCCCCTGTTCTCAGTTCGGCGCAAACGATTTCAACTTCAAATAGTGTAATGTCTGAAAATAATTCTTCGAAGGCAGTATTTAAATTTGAAAACTGTGTTTTTAATTGTCATAATTTCAATAACAATTAATTAATTATTGTATAGAGCACTTTTTAATATTTTTGCAAATATAGGTAGATGTTTCCAAAAATTCGTGTTTTAATGCACCCTTCAAACAGATCGTTTGAAAATTATATTGAAATTCATTTGGCATAAATATAAAGAAAAGGTGAAAAAATACCTGAGAAAAAATTATCAGCAATTAGCACATGTGCAAATTATCGATAATTTTAAAATTATCGCTATTTTTTAGATGCAGCTAAATTATCAGGTAATTGTATTTTGATTGGTCCAAACTGACAATAAAAAACCAGTATTTCATTGTTGAAATGTCAAATTTGACAATAAATGAAATTTTCTAAATAACATCACTAATAAAACAAACTCATACATTAAAAACTCTTGGGATTTTAAAAATAAAATAAAAAATTTAAACCTACCAAAAAACTATACAATAATTTCCCTAGATGTAGTATCACTGTATACCAACATTCCTATACAACTTACCTTGGACACTATAAAAAACAAATGGCAGGAAATTAAAAAATTTACTGACATACCAGTTGATGAATTTCTTGAAGCAATAGAATTAACACTTCGATCTACATATTTTGCTTATAATGATGAGTTTTACAAACAAATTGAGGGTTGTGCTATGGGATCTGCTATCTCCAGTGTTATTGCTCAGTTAGTACTAGAAGAATTGGAAAATAGTGTTATATCAAAACTCAACTATAACCTACCCTTTTACTATCGGTATGTTGACGATTGCATTACTGCCATTCCAGAAAAATGGAAGAAAATATCTTAAATTCATTTAATGCTTCCCATCCCAAAATTCAATTTACCACCGAAATCGAAAAAAACAAAAAAATTAACTTTTTAGACATGACATTACATCATATAAATGACTCCATAAAAACTGAGTGGTACACAAAAAAAACCTGGTCGGGCCGCTATCTAAATTTCCATTCCCAACACCCCTTACCCCAAAAAAAATCTGTTGTTATTGGTTTGGCCGACCGTGCGATAAAGTTAAGTGATGACGAATACAAAAAAAATGCAATAAATAAAGCAAAATACATATTAATTAAAAACAGTTACCCAAAAAAAATTATAAATTCAATTTTCAAAGCACGGCAAGAAAAAGTAAATAATAACACCCAAGATGGAAATAATGATAAAAAAAAATAATTACTTATCCCTCCCATATATACCAGGAATGTCAGAGAACATAAATAAAATCTTTAAAGACAAAAATGTAACAATATGCCACAAAGGATTTAATTTATTACAAAAAAATTTTTCTCGGCTAAAAAGCAAAACACCCATTAATAAAAAAAGTCACATCATTTACGAAATCCCATGCAACGATTGCCAAAAAGTCTATATTGGACAAACATCACAGTATCTTCAAAACCGATTGAATGGCCACAAATATGATAAAATTAACAAAACTGCCTTGAGCAAACACAAAGAGCAAGAATCCCACACTTTTGATTTTTCCAAAACAAAAGTTTTAAAAACCGAGAACAACCAAAATAAGCGTGAATTTCTAGAGATGATCTATATAAAAAAGAATGAGAATGCAATCAATGATAAAACAGACATAAAATTCCTAAGCAAAATCTATTTTAACTTAATTAACTAGACTTATCCATTAACTATTATTAAAATTATTTATAAAAAAAAAGGGAAAAAAAACTAGGACGTTGCAACACAATAAAAGTAGGAATTCCATATTGTAAACATGCACCTAGTACAGTCGTTGAAAGACATCAATATGAAGACGACAAAATGAATTTTTATTACGATTTTAAAGTATACGTGCCGTCCTTTTGTTCTTGTAAAGTTGATTTTGTTTATCGTAATTATTGTAAGTGTCCAATTAACGAATGGTAAGTCGAGAAAGATTCAAAAAATGTTAAGATGTAATTTGATAAATTTATTGAGGTTTTAAAATTCTATGTAATCGTAGTCCTTAAGAAAAAAATATGCATAACAGTTTGTTTCATCATTAAATAATTTTATTTTATACATTTATACAATTAACAAATGTTTTTATTATTTTTTTGTAGTTACTGATGAAGGTCGAAAATGACCGAAACGTTTAAAATAAATATCCTATGAAATCTGACTGACCTTTTAACATTGTTGAACCTATTCCCAAGAAAATTTCAACGAAGTAAATATTTTCTTGGCCTTGTTATGCTGAAAATATAATCTTCTTGCGCCTGGTATACCATGGTATTTTAGGGGATGATTTTTCATATGTAGGTTGATCGTCTAGCGTAATTGATTAATTGCCCTTATGTAATCAATACGTTGATGTTTGAAAACGACTGTATTATTTAATGTAATCTTTTGATATCGATTATTGTTACACCTTTACTTGCCTTTTATAACTGTTACCTGTTATGTGTTACCCAAAGCTACATAGGTTTAGTAATTAAATATGGTCCTTTGTTTTAAACCTGACTTTTAATGATTCCTTCTGCCGAGAACAATGCCTAGGTCCAAGAGACCCACGTTTAGTAAGTACTGACTATACTTTGAATATTATTATTCTTTTTTGAGCTAGCTGGTGATATAACTGAAATTTGTGGTTATAAATTACCAAAAGAGACTTAACCGATTGTTTAAATTACCCCGGAAGTGACTGCGTACTCAATTTTGACTGTGATCGTGAATTTTCGGGGATAATACCATGAGAGCTTCAAAATTACGGATGCGTGTTTTCTTTGCAAATTATAGAAATTACGCAATCGTGAAAAATTACCTGGTCCATTTTAAAGCTCGAGTAGTATTAAGAGGATTATTTCACTAATGGAAATGCAAAAAATATAGAAATTTGATGGAAACAAATGGTTGCTAACAGCATCCATTTGTTCTTATAACACATGAGTGGAATAATCAAGTAAGTTCTAGAAAATTCTATCTGGAATTTTTGACTTCAGCGACGTGTCTGCTATATCAATCGACAATAGGAAAAGACATTTCAAGAAAATTCTAGAACATTCTATGCGAGAATAAAACAAGTTATCTAATTTGTGACTACACCGACGTGTTTGGAACTTTAATTGAAGACCAGGAAAGATGTTTGACGAGAGACTGAGGGAAATTCCAGAACATTCTGTATATGCCCATTACGAGACAACAAGCAAAATTGGAAGAACAAAAAAATTAAAGAACTGCTGCGCAAAATGTTGAAACTTCAAGCGACCCATCGACAACAAAAAAAAAAACAAGAAGAAGAGGCTAAGCGACAAAAAGAAAAAAAAAAGAAAAAGAAGCTAGACGACAACGCGAAAAGGTCAACCGACAAAAAGAAAAACAAGATGAAGAAGCTAGGCGACAACAAGAAGAGGCTAGACGACAACAAGAACGGCATGGAGACCTTGGAAAACTACAGAAAATATTTCAAACCATACAAGGGTCTGTCGCTAACTTAGAATAAAAGATAAAAAAAGTGAAAGCCGAAGTTAAAGACGATGTTCAAGAAGTTAAAGACGATGTTCAAGCAGTTGAAGACAATGTTCAAGAAGTTAAAGATAAGGTGAATAAATTAGAAATACAGTCCATCAATCCGGGTAGTGTTGGAGCATCATTCTCTAGTATGAAGATAAAACCACCAACTTTTGACGATTCTACATCCTGGAACATGTACTTTTGACAATTTGAAGCCGCTGCAAACACCAACGGATAGAACGATCAAGAAAAAGCTATAGCATTGATAATGGCGCTACGAGGACCTGCCATAGATCTTCTTCAGTCCATTTCTTCAATCTACCAACAGAATTACCAGCATCTATGTTAGAATTGCGCTTCGGAGACCATTACAGGTAAGAAGTATTTAGAACTCAAGTTAAATCAAAAATTCAAAAACCCGGCGAGAGTTTACAAGAATTCGAATAGGAAAAAAACCATCAAGAGATTGAAATACCTAATCAATCAACTGAATAAAAATAAAGGCCATCCCAGACATACCTTCATATTTGCATAGCATAGGCGCATAAGGAATTCGACCAATCACAAGCCGAATAGGAGCAGCCATATTGCTTTTGCATAGGATTTTCCATAAAAATGAAAAACTTATGGAGCTGTGCTATGCGCGGCCAATCAAAATACGTCGTTGCAAGTCATGTGATTTTTGACTTTCGCATGATATTATTATATTTAATAATATTTATGTTTTTGTTAGGGCCAAATTATGGACTGACTGGTAAACGTCTGGTTATTACCTAGCAGGTACTTTCTATGCACTAGAGAATAGAAAGTACCTGCTAGGTAACAACCAGACACTTACCAGTGGGTCCATAATTTGGCCCTTGTGAAAACAATTAAACTAAACAAACCTCAAGTGCCTAATTCACAGTGAAAATATTGAAAAATCTAAATTTGCAATCAAATAAACAACGCAATAAACAAAAACTTATCTCATAACTTACAAAATAAATGTTGACGTATGACGTATGACAGAATTTCCTTAATTTGATTGGTCGAATGCCTTATGGTTTAGGTTTTGTGTGTTTTGTCCGGTTTTGCATAGACCATTACGTATCGTTATGCGCCATGCTATGCGTTATACAAAGTTGTCTGGGATGGCCTTAAGGCTGCTGGGTTTATAGGAGTCTCCGGAACAAAATATTTTATTTCGAATCCTAGGGATATAATATGGTTACCTGTTATGTTTGTTGTTATTTTCCTTCGTGCATGAAGCACATCCCCTCTTTCCCACATATTCAAAACAACACATTTTTGCTTTCGCAAATACTGAAGCTAATAATATCAAAATAATAATTAACCAAATCATGTTCGCCTAAGCTCATGTGAACATGATACAACAGATTTAGGATTTACAAGTTAACTTTAATGACTTAATTGTGCTTGAATTACCTTAGATCTAAACATATTTGTTAATTTTTATAATTTCAATAAAAACTTAAAGGAAACAGTTTCTCCCATTCCTCATATCGCTTCTCATAAAGTCTCTCTCGAATGACCAATTTATTTCCAATATCCAAATATTTTTGAGTTTTATTATTGAAGGTCTCCCATTTCACGTTGTCTAACTTTGGATCGACTCTGGGAGTAGGAGTTCTGGAAAAATAAAATCATAGGTACCTATATAAAAATTATTGATTACTAAAAGGTACGTACCCGTGTTTAGCGAAATTAGCATATAACCTAGTGAGTTTTTCGACTATTTCAATTTCCTTGGGTCCAGTAGCATTGAACACTGGAAATTGTGCCGGAATGTCAAACAGGTATATTAAATCGTCCATATGTACGACACCTAGAACGCATAGATTTAACTTAAAGGCAGGTATGTTTTAGGTTCACAAAGAACCGTTCATATCTTTGCCATAATTTAGTGCTATACATGAAAATAGATAACACAATTTAGGAACGGTTTTTGGGTCAATACTTTAACATACCATAAGTCTTATTTGTGTTAGGGTAGTAGAAAAAGCTATAATCTCCTTGATAACTGTATCTGTAGTAAAACGTGGGATGAGAATTATGTTCACTCATAAGTTTTGCTGCGCGGTTTACTCCAAAACCAAGCAAAGAATCAGCATAAAGCTAAAAATGCAGCTGAAATTTCATACGATTAGTAAAACAATATGTTATACTTACATGTGCTAGATTATCCTCCTGGGAGTTATCAATTTTTTTATTGTTAAAATAAAATTCTTTCAAGCCTTTACTTATAACTCTTGAATAAGACGTGTTTCTTTCGTATAAAAATGGTATTGGTGCAGTTTCGTACCATTCATTATTTAGTCTATCCAGCAATGTTTGATTATTTAAAACAACTAAAATATATATTTAGAATATCAAGAAATTGAAATTTATATTACCTAAACCATATTTGCTACAGGTTTGGTTAAACTTACTCAAAGCTCTTTGCCCAAACTCATCTTTAGTTACTCCAGTCATAAATGGCACCTTGGTGAGAATTTTGTTATTTTTAATTAGAGTAATTGGATGGTCTGTTAAAAATCGCTCTTGTCCAAAGTCTTTTTCTATGACTGATCTCCAAAGAAGAAGCGGATCTCCATCAAATTCCTGTCGAAATAGATTATACGTATATTTATTCAATTGAAATCTTTTTAATTCTTACCCCAAATTTCAATAGAGAATCACCCAAATCTTCCGCGGACGCTGTTTTCAAGCATTTATAAATATTTGAAGCTGTGTCATCTGGACAACCAACAAAACGGGCTTGTTTTCTAGCTAATTCAAGTTCATCATGACCTATTGGTACCTGTGTAGTAGGTGAATTACTCAGAGCAGCTGCTCTATGGAACAACCCTGATGAAAACTTTTATGTTTCAATTACTGGACATTAAATATTTTGGCTATATATTACCAACAGACATAGGAGAAAGCATATGTAGAACAACACTTATTGCACCTGCGCTATTTCCCATCAAGGTGACCAGTTCAGGATCACCACCAAAAGCAAGAATGTTCGCTTTGACCCATTTCAAAGCTGCAACTTGGTCCTTGAATCCATTGTTGCCTGGCGATTCTTTTTCACCGAGGGCCAAAAAGCCTGCAAGAAAATTGTGTGTCTCCCAAAATTTATTATTTGAAACTTAATACTAACCCAAGCTCCCCAATCTGTAATTAATCGTCACTAAAACTAGGTCGTGGTCTAATAAATATACAGGACCCCAAAATTTCGATCCTGAAGCGTAGAAACCTCCAGGGTGCATGAAAACAATGACGGGTTTTTTAACATTCGGGTCATGACAGTTTGGTAACTAAATAGAAAAAGTATTACTTATCACAAGAAACAAATTAGCATATAATTTTTATAGCAAAACAAAGAACTAAATAGTCTCATATTGTAAATAAATAAATAGCTATTTATGTAACAAGTTGTAAAATTAGCGTGTTTTTTGTACTAAATATGAAGGTCCAACACATTGTGTGCAAAAAACAGTCATTTTGCGACGTGCTTCATAAAAATCAATGTCAAAAAGATGCCATTTCGTAACTGAATTACAAAAAAATATTTGATTAACTTCAATTCAAAATATTCAAGAACTAACCTTGGTAGTATAAACATTCAAATATAAACAATCCTCTTGTGTCTCATTAAAAAAAGGCTGAGGACATAATGGGGCATCAACTGTTGCATTATAAATACCTTCATGGTGGCCTATAGGAACTGGAGGCTACAAAAATACTTACTGTTATATATGAATATTGCGCTATTCAATTTGAGAATCTTACCTGAAATCTTAATTCACCAACTGGTGCTTCTGCAAATTGAATACCAGTGAATGAGTAAATGGTTTTTCCTAATCTAGACTTGGTTATAGTTCCTTTGAATTTTCCTATCGGTGCACTCGCTATTGGAAGCTCGGCATTGGTAAAAGCGAATACTAATAAGAGGATTTTTAATACCTCGTGCATTTTGAAACCACGGCTATTCTGGTACTAATGGCAAAAATACAAAGAAAACTGTGAAAATTGCTATTAAATGTTATCTACTTACTTGAAATTTAAGTGCACCGATATTTTCATGCCAAATATGTTTTATAACCGACCGCTAATCTAGTTTTGAAAATATTACTGGTCGGGGTTTTTCCAAAGAATCTTTGAATATTCAATATAGTGTATTCTGTTATTTTCTATAGGGTAGCTCAAGTAGAATGGATTAAAAACCTTGTACTTAGAAAAGATAGAACTACATGCTTATATACACACTCTTCTAATCTTCAATAAGCTGGAAAACCTCTAGCAAGGCGAAAAATTATTTTGTCATAACTAAAGAACTCGAATAATAATTAAAATATTGTTTAAAGGTTGTTTTGTGATTTTCACTCTATAAGTTCTTTAGATCACTTAGTAATAAAAGAAATAAACAAGCAAGCATGTTCCACATTAATTTATATTTTGTTTTGTTCAAGTTATCACCATTTCAAAGAAACAGAAAATTTACCAAGTATATAGAGATAACCGCTAATATTTTAATTATGTATGTATATTATTTCATAACCATGTAAATTTACGACTGTATGAGGCCTTTGTGCAAAAAGTCATAGTCCTTGATGGCAAAATTTACATTATTGAGTCACTTTGTTTTCATGACACCCATAAATACACAGCTTTTAACGATTTCCACATTTACAAAACTTCCCTCAGGCCTTATCTGGAAATAAATATTTTGCAATTTCTGGTTGATAATGAAGTGAAAATTGAAAACAATAATGAGAGCTATATTTAGTTTAGCACGCCTATTTATGTTATTGAATTTAAAATCTCAGAATATACATAGAACATACATTTGAAAAAGATTATGAAATCGATTTGTCAAAAATTCAAAATTTTAAGTGAATTTCCAAAGTTTTTCAATATTTTAGGTGAATTTGAGGATGAAACTCGGGATGAAATGTTGACGAAACTTAAATTAAATATCGTGCCTTTCAAGTTAGTCCAAGAAACGTTCCTCTACTACTTTTCCTTCAAAAATAATTAGATCGTCTTCAAAGTCTTGATATTATATTCCTATTGGTTACCATACCATACCAGCACAAGTTTGTCTTGTGAATATATAAAATTGAACAAAGCGGTTCTAAGATTCACAGTTTTCTATTCCGAAGCTCGAAACCTCTGGGAAAAACTGCTAGTATGAGTATGATATTGTTTACATTAATGTTTGTTGATTTTCCGCTTTCAACCTCACATTGCAAACCACAACATTTTTAGTCCTTCGAGCCGGATGACATTTAGCCGAGTTATATTTAAATTTTTCCAAATTTTATAATTTCAGCACTCGCCATATTTAAATTAGCAGTTTCTAGCGTTTGCTGTATTTGTTCCTCCATACTACACCAACATCGGCGCGCACAGATCCACACTAACTCCAACAGAGATACCAAAACAATCTTTCTCTGACATTTTATTTTAGTCAGATTTATTTACATCCTATCATTCGATCATTGGGACTTTCTAGTTATTGTGTATTTAGGTAGACAGCATTAAAAGTCTCAAAACTCAAAGAACTAATTTAATTATATTCAAAGCTAACATGAATAACATATACAGAATCAAGGTGAGATCCCTGACTGAGACCCCACTTCTACCAAAACCACGTCAAAACTACAACTGAACTGTCACCCATAGAGAATGATACGTTTACAATGTTGCAGTAGGCGCGTACATAACATTCCTTCTCACTTCAAGTCTGTTTTTTTAAAGATAATTCCCTAAGTCAAAAATTTAGTAACTATGTTAGCAACACAAGCCTTTTCTACATAAAAAAATTGAAAGCATTGAGAATTTTACATTGTATTGCCAACATAATGTCATTTTGACTTTTATCTTTAAAAAAAAACATACTTTTAAGTAATAAAAGATTTTTTAAGTAAATTTTAATACTTATATATTTCCACAATTTTTTGTTAAACTTTTAACATGTTTCGCTAAACTTTAGCTTCATCAGAAAGATTTTAGAAAAATAAAATGTAGACATAAAAGTGAAATTGACAAATATAAAAAAGGTAAAAAAAATATAAAAAAGCTTTTACCTTTTTTATATTTGTCAATTTCACTTTTATGTCTACATTTTATTTTTCTAAAATCTTTCTGATGAAGCTAAAGTTTAGCGAAACATGTTAAAAGTTTAACAAAAAATTGTGGAAATATATAAGTATTAAAATTTACTTAAAAAATCTTTTATTAGATAATGGATTTCCACCAAGTAAAAGCCGATTCAATCAAAATACTTTTAAGTCTTTTTTTTTTTAAAAGATAATTCCCCAAGTCAAAAATTTAGTAACTATGTTGGTAACACAAGCCTTTACTCCAGTTATATTATGCCGGAAAAAGCAGCATCTGCCTAAAAAATCCGAGTGAGCCTAAATTTTGTCTACAGCTTTATTTTACCCCAAGAAATAATGTCTTAAAAGTCCCCATCAATATCGCGCTTGCGTTTTCAGATATTCAAGGTCAAAAGTCATGAACGTCATTTAACAACGATTGGTTGCCAAATGACATTTGCTTCATTGGTTATCTGTCAGCTATGATCGACCGGTTAATCGCATTTAATCGATGTAAGTCAGCACAGAATTCTGTCAGTCAATTCGAATCTATTTGGCAAGAAGTCTAGACGTTTCGTTTTGTGATTTAATTAGCCATCGTGATGGATGAGTTTTGTTTTATTTGCAGTAAATCGCTCTTGAAAGGTGTTACAGTGACTATGAAATGCGGTATAGATGCTTTAAGAAAAGCAAGTGTCGAAAGAGAGGATGAACATGCAGAACGTTTAAGGGATACAGATTCGGTAACAGTACATAAAAACTGTCGCAAGGAGTATACATAGTAGCATCTAAAAGTCCCCTAATTTTTTTCGACAGACGTGTGGAGACTTGCTTATCAGTGGCGGCTCTTCCTTAGGTTTGCAGGTTTGCGCAACCCCCAACAAAACTTTAAAAATATAAAACAAAAATAGTAGAATTAAATTTTAGTACCTAATTATATTTAAAAAATAAATTATACCAAAATTTGGGACCTACATAATACGCAGTCAATTATTAAAATAATTTGACCAATTTCGCCAAAATATCAACAACTGACAGGCCGCCGCGCCGGCGACTTCGAGTAGCGGGTAGCGGCGTCGAGTCGCTGGATTGCAGCTCCAAAGCAAACCGATCTTTTATATGACGGCGCACATTTGGTTGCCTGTATATGCGTGGATTCGAAATCCGCCCCATAAGCTCCAGCAGGTTGCAAGCAAAGTGCAAACTTTGTTTATTTTTTTTTGCTCGTAGCGCAAATTAGGTTTGTTTTGTGAAGTTGGGGGGTGAAAAAAAAAGAATTATGTTTAAAATTTAATTCCCGAGCCATTCTTTGGTCGTTCATTAACCGATAAGGCTGAAATAAAAAGACTTGGAAGGCCTACTCCATATTTAAAAATTGAACAAACTGTAACTACATAGCAAAAAAAGGACTTTCACCAGGACATTTAATCTGGACCTTTACGAAAAACATGCATGATTGTACCATTGAAATTGCAACCCCTACATTTTTAATATACGAGCCGCCACTGTTGCTTATCCTACACTTAGATCGCGTATTAGGCTGACAATACTTTGCGTGGGTCCCCTCACTAACGGGATCGCTTTAGGCGGCCAGTGGACGAACTCTCCTAGTATTTTTGGTGCGAGCTACTTACGAACACGAAGAAAGAAAAGCGAGAGCTAACGATTAAATCCTTCGGGCGCGAAATAAGTTTTTCGAAAAACCCAGTTCGTCGTAAGGGAAACCCGTATCAATCCTCGAATTGGAGGTTGGTGTCCTAGGGGAGTAGCATAGTGTCATCTAAAATACGACGAGATGAAGATGCTGCCGGTACATCTCAGTATTTTCTTCGCAAAACACAGCTTTAGCATGGGATCTTTTGATTTAAAAACTTTGTGTTTTTTTTTTGTGGCGAAGAAGCCAACGAGGAAACAGAGACAAAAAAAAACTAAGAAATATCAATGTATAATTAGAAGTTTGGCAATGAGCGGAGAACCACACAACTTCCTCTTATAACACCAATCAAAAAATCAAAAAGATCTGTAGGGTCATGGTGGCTTAGTTGGGTAGAGCGTAGCATCGGCAATGCTGAGGACGCGGGTTCGAATCCCGCCCAGGACCAAAATTTTCAAGTATCCAATTTTCCTTAGCTTTCTTTTCATTTTCAATTTCCACGCTTTTTGGTTGTTGTAACCGATAAAACTTCATTCCTTTTCCACCATGATTTGTGTCCGCGATACTCAAAGTGATATTTTAGGTAAAGCTTGGTATGAAAATAAGAAATCTCAACCGGCAAAAGAACGCCTTCGAATTGTATAAACTGTGATCAAAATTATCAGAGAAGACATTCGTTTCATGACTGTTGATTGTTAATCTTATCCTCCTCCCAGTATGTTTTATAATCTTAGTTAACGAAAACATCCCACAGATTCTTTCATACTTTATTGAAGACTTAATTCTGAAAAACAAAAAAGGCAAAACTGTCCATCTTAAGTGTAAGTGTACCGCTATTTGTCATGTTATTATGACTATGATACGTGCACGATCCTTCACATCTAACCTTTTCTAGATATTTTGTCAACTCTTGGATTCAGCGCGTCGTATAGAGAAACATTAATGTATGAAGTTGCTGCTGTCTACCATCCATAATCAGATATTCTATCATTTGAAACTGGTGCTCTCATTCAGTATTCAGCAGACAATGCAGATATCAATGTCTACACAATAGACGGCCACAACACGCTTCACATTATGGGGCTTATTGAAATAGTAACACCAAGCAGCGCCGTTGCTTTTGAAGAATCCATGAATGATGTAACGGTCAACCCATCGGTCGATACCAAAATAAACGCCCTCTCGGTGAAACGGGGGACGGATGATGACGTAATCTTCACGGTCAGTTGCTGATCCGCAAAATAGTCCCTGCTCGGGCGCCAAATTTGTAACGGGTTTTCCTAGGTTTTTCCTTGAGCTGTGGCAGCTTAACAGTCGGTATTTATCTTTTGGTTAATCCAGCGGTAATCTCGGACGACACCCTCAAGATTATAGTGGTTGAGGGACCACTAGCACCAGGTAGCTTGTTACAGTGGAGGAAGAAAAACCAGGGACCAATGCGCAGATAAAGGAATAAAACAACTATCGAAGAAATAAGCCCTAGGTTCAGCACCAGTCCCCGAAAGCTTCTAGCGACAAGTTCAGAATCGCGTGTCTCAGCGGGGTAGAAAGTATAACTGATCTATGTCCGTACGTTCAACCAGGACATAAGGATTGCGGTTGTCCTGCTGGACTGTACAGCCGAGACTTGTCCTGATCAGTCTACCCACTACGGGTGCTACCCTCTGTTTT